GGCCCTTGTTGCCATGTCTGATGACCTGAGTTCGATCCCAGGAACACACATGCTAGAAGGAGAGAACTGATTCCTTCAAGTTATCTTCTGGCCTCCACACATACACCATGGCATAACTTCTCTCTCCCTCCCTCCCTCCCTCCCTCTCTCTCTTACAAGATGTGAGACATCCACGTAATGTTACCGAGTCATTGAAATAAGCGAGGTTCTGATACACGCTACAACATGGATGAACCTTGAAAACATTGCATTAGGTGAAATAAACCAACAATAAAAGAGATACCAGAGGACTGGGTCTTGCAGCACACAAAAGAGATGAGACCAAGGCGTAGATTGCAAATAAAGTAGGCAAGACTCCTTCATGTGACGGACCTCGACTGAAGAAGCCAGCCAACATGAGCTGAAGAAGACAGCTGGCACAGACCAGAGACCCCCAAGCTGCCTGCTTGAAGAAAACAAACAGTAAGCTTTTACCGCTCTCCTGGGAGAGCTTAAGTTTGGTTAATTGCCCATTTGTCATAAGCAGTTTATAGAAGGTGTTCTGTGTTCAGATTCCCCCCATGGAGGGCCTCACCCTCCCTGGGCATCGGGGTGGGGATTGGGAGGGGGGCTGAGGGGACTGGTGGGGGAGGGGGGAGGGAGAGGGAGCTGGGATTGACTGTGAAGCAAGCTTGTTTCTAATTTAAATTTAAAAAGATGAGGCGGTGGTGCAAGCCTTTAATCCCAGCACTCACTCAGGAGGCAGAGGCAGGTGGATCTCTGTGAGTTCGAGGCCAGGCTGGACCGACAGCCTCCAAAACAATACAGAGAAACCCTGTCTCGAAAAACCAAAAAAAAAAAAAAAAAGATGAAAAAAAAAAAAAGGTATTCTGTGGGCTGGAGAGATGGCTCAGAGGTTAAGAGCACTGGTCTGCTCTTCCGGAGGACCCCGGTTCAATTCCCAGCACCCACATGGCAGCTCACAACTGTCTGTAACTCTGGTTTCAGGTGATCTGATACCAATGCAAATTAATAAATAGTTTTTTAAAAAAAGGTATTCTGAGTTCAAGCATCCTGGCTTACACTGATGCTAGCAGTTAGCTACACCTGGGAAATGCTAAATCACACCTAATATTGTCACATCGCAAAAACACCCTGGCCTTATGATAGGGCTAGGGGCAGGGGCAGGAGAGACAGACACCCATTGGACCAAATCAACCCAGGGTTGTCATCTTAGGCAAATATTTCTCAGTTGGTAATTTGTTAGTCTATGTGCGTGACTGGGTATAACGGACTCAAAATTTGCGGCAAAAGAGGGTTAGACAGCACACAAACAGGAAGATGGTATCTGGATGTGGCGGGATCCAAAACCAGGAAGATCAGGAGTTCAGCGTCTGTCCGCTTGGGGCTACTCAGGACCACGGGAAAGGAAGCGGAGACGCTGAGCCTTAAACCCTCTTTAGCCATGGGTCAAGGTATCTTCAGGCCCTGGGGAAGATTCCATATCTCAAGCCAAAAAAAAAAAAAAAATGGGCCTTCGAGTTTCTGTAAAGTAACACAGACAATTGTCTGTCTCCCTCACTCTAGTGACCTAACCTGCCCAGAAACTGGAACGAGGGTGACTTACTGGTTGCTCAGCTATGTGCCTTCCAAAATTTGTGATTTAAAAATTTTTTTTTCAGTTTCAGGTTTGTGTATGAGTGTTTTTGCCTGCTTGTGTATCTATACACCATGTGCCTCTCTGGTACCTGAGGAGTTTAGGAGTGTTGGGTCTGCTAGGATAAAAGTCTGGATGTCACCTTTATGTTTCTTAGCTCTCTCTCTCTCTCTCTCTCTCTCTCTCTCTCTCTCTCTCTCTCTCTCTACACACACACACACACACACACACACACACACACACACACACATGGATGCTTGAACTGAACCCAGGTCCTCTTTGAGAACAAGTGCTCTTAACCACTGGGCTATCTCTCCAGTCCCCCAAAAACTTGTGATTTTAAAGATAAGAGCTGGTGAGGTTAGAGGGCTTATGTACACTTGGTTTTGTTTGAACTGTTTTTCTGGTAATAATTCTTCCTCAATTTTGTTATCTGTTTAGACATCTTCACCCCCGGTTTTATCTTGGTTTGGTCATAAGGGGCTCTTAGTAAACACTTGGACCTTATAATTTTTTGGGGGGTGGGGTAAGGGTGGGGAGCTTCGAGGCAGGGTTTCTCTGTAGCTTTGAAGGCGGTCCTCCTGTAAACCAGGCTGGTCTCAAACTCACAGAGATCCTCCTGCCTCTGCCTCCCGACTGCTGGGATCAAAGGCATTGCTGCACCAACGCCTGGCTGGACCTCATAACTTAATCTGTGTTTTATAGGACAAGGACCAAGAAAGCAGGCAGAGGAAAAATACATATTGTGCTTTTAATTCGTCACAGGTTAGGGGCCCAGAGATTGCCTTTTGTCCCATTTCAGAAGGACAAGCACCATATGATGTCAGTTACCTAGAAGAGTCAAGCTCAGGAGACACAGGATGTGGACTAGAAGGTTCTAGGGCAGAGAGGACAGAAGTTGAGGAGTCATTGTTTGATGGTATAGTTTCTGGTTGGGGCGATGATGAAAAGGTTTTGGGACTAGGAGGTAAGCAGGAGTTATGCAAAACAATGTATGCAGTCAGTGGCACTGACTTATAACTCAAGATGGTCAAAATGGTAAACTTCAGATTGTGTATATTTTCCCAACACGGGGGAAAAAAAGGTAGTCGTGATGTAGCTAGGAGATAGAGCACTTGCCTATGTGTGAGGTCCTGGAATTGATCACCAGCAGAAAGGAAGAAGGACCCAGAAAGATGGGTCAGCAGTTACACGCGTACTTGATGTTTTTTCAGAGAATTCTGGTTTCCGGCACCCACATCAGGAAGCTCACAGCTGCCTGCAACTGCAGTTCAAGGGGATCTGACGTCTTCACCGGGCCTCCAGGGGTACCCTGTGGCGATACTTTGTTTACACTATAACAAATATATAACAAATAAAGCTTGCCTGGAGATCAGAGTGCTGATCTAAGCCACTAGTTAACCATAGAAGCCAGGCAGTGGTGACGCACACAACTTTAATCCCAGCAGCCACACTAGTTGGCCATAGGACCTGGGTGGTGGTGGTGGTGGTGCACACCTTTAATACCAGCTCTAGAGAGGAATATAAGGTGGGAGAGGAGGGGAGTCTGCAGTCACACTGAGGACGGGGCAGCCCCTTTTGGTCTGAGCCTTAGTAGAGCTAAGAACTCTCTAGTGGTTGGCTACTTTGCTTTTCTGATCTCCGATTTGAACCCCAATAGCTGTCTCTGGGTTTTTATTGTTCGTGCTACAAATGCACTGCAAACCAGAAACTCCAAGCATCTACCCTGGAGTCGATAAATGCTAACGCAGATTCCTTGTGCTATGTCCTCCAAACAGAGGGCAATTGTTTGTGAAGGTCACGAACACTTTTGGTTTCTGCTGTTGCTGACATTTGAAAGATGCTTTTTCCGTGCAGCAGGACTTGAGTAAAAAATTTTTTTAAAACACAAGAAAAATAAAATAAATTCCAGGATTCTTTCTTTCTGATAACATATGCAAAAGATGCTTTTTTCCAAAATTGTTTTGAGTGTATGCATGAATGTGCACTTCCACAGTGGTCTGTGGAGGGTGTTGTGAGTCACTGTGTGGGTGCTGGGCATCGAACCAGTTAAATGAGAAGCAGATCCGATGGGCTACAACCAATGAGCATGTTGAACCACTTCTCCATCCCTGTAGGAAAGATTTATTTTTCCCCAAGACATTTTCTCTTTGTAGCCTTGGCTGTCCTGGAACTCACTCTGTAGAGCAGACTGGCCTGGAACTGCCTCTGCCTCCGCCTCAGCCTCCCAAGTGCTGGGATTAAAGGCGTGTGCCACCACACACAGCAAGATGCAAATATTTTTAGGTGCCCCTCCACCTCCCACAATATCAGGGTAGTAGAGTCATAAAATGCTATTGCAGCCGGGCAGTGGTGGCCTTTGATCCCAGCACTCGGGAGGCAGAGGCAGGCGGATCTCTGTGAGTTCGAGGTCAGCCTGGTCTACTAGAGTAGTTCCAAGACAGGCTCCAAAGCCACAGAGAAGCCCTGCCTCGAAAAACAAAATAAGTAAATAAATAAATAGATAAAATGTTATATTGCTGTGCTGGACAGTGGTGACTCCTGCCTTTAATACCAGCACTTGGGAGGCAGAGGCAGGTGTAACTCTGTGAGTTCCAGGCCAGCCTGGTCTACAGAAAACCTGTCTCAAAAAACCAAAACAATACATAAATAAAATGCTATTGCTAAAAACAACTGGGTGCATAGAATTTGTTTTGGGAAGCAGTTTTCAAATTGCACTCTCATTGCGTTTATAAAGCTCTTTCAGCAGGGCATTGGTAGCGCACGCCTTTAATCCTAGCACTCGGGAGGCAGAGGCAGGCGGATCTCTGTGAGTGCGAGGCCAGCCTGGTCTACAGAGTAAGTTCCAGGACAATCTCCAAAACAATACAGAGAAACCCTGTCTCGAAAAACAAAAAAACAAAAAAAAAAGCTCTCTCACCTTTATAACTGTGTTTAAATAATTGCTTACATTTTTTTCCCTCTTAGGTATCATCCAAATCCAGGCTGGCTTCCAATTTACTGTACAGCCCAGGATAACCTTGCACTTTTCTGATCCTCCGTCCTCTCCCAAGTGTGGACACAATAGCACTGAGCTACATCCCGAGCCTTAAAAAGAAAACATATATATATATATATATTTCTGCGTGAGCAGGATTAAAAACGTCCTAGCAAAAAGGCCCCAAACCTGTTCTTTCCTTTTCTCTCCGCCAATCCTGCTTGCCGGTTGAGTCAAGGAAAAAAAAAAAGCAAAAAAACCCAAAAAAACCCTGACGTTCAACCTCCGGCCAGCAGGGGGAGACAGACCGTGCGCCGTGAAGCCTGCGGCCCGCTCTCTTCCCCGCGTCGCGTGCGTGCTGGCGGCGCTACATACTGCGCATGCGCACGACAGTCCGGTCTTTTTTCCCCTAGCGCCGCCGGGCCTGCAGGTCTGTGTGGAGCCGCGGTTGCGGGTGTCTGTTCCGCAGGATGGTGAGTGGGCATCTGGGGCTCGGGGCCGCGGGTGCACGGGGGCCGCCCCCTCCCGCCGCCGATGCCCGCCCGGGCGCCCCGTCTCGCGCGGCCTGGGGCGCGGATGGCGCTCGATTCCCGGCGGTGCGGCCGCCGCTCCCAGCGTGGCCTTAATGGCTGCCGGGGGGAGGGGCTGCTGCTGCGGCGCTGGCTGCCCGGGACGCGCGGCTCGCAGGGCAGGAGGGGATCCTCCCTCCCCACGCGCGGCTCCGGACGCCCCTGGCGGGGGTCCCGAAGGCCGCGGCGCGGGAGCCGGGGCTCGGGCAAGTGTCGGTGGGGAGGCTGCAGGCGGTGGCCTTCCCGGGTCCCGGAAGGAGCTCGCGTCCTGCGGGATTGGTCGCGCGAGCCACGTTTGCGGGGCTTGGCTGGAATCCGGCCTGGGAGGTGCAGTGGCGGCGGCGGCGGGGGGCGTCCGTGCGGTCCCCCGGTGCGCAGCTCGGAGCTCATGCGAGCGACTGCCGGACGCCGTGTGCCCCGTGGCACCGCAGCACCGGGTTTATTGGGTGCTCCCATGATGGAGGGAGGGAGTTGTGGAGGGTTGCGGGGTTAAAAATCGTCGAGGTGAGCGCGGTGCGCGCGGTTGGAGGCTCAGGTGGGTGGACGCCGCGTAGAGCGATGACTTCCCCGACAGAGAGGCTGGCGCGGGCGGGAACGAAGGGCACCGGTTCCCGAGAGAGAGCAGGAATTGGGGAGGTGGCTGGTTCAAACGCAGCAGCACCAGCACGAGTTGGTACCTGCTGGGGAGAAGCGTGGGGACCCTGCGATTGCGGAGGGCTGGGGCCTTGGGGTCAGGGCCTGCCTTGCTCCCTTAGCCGGCCCTGTCTCTGCCTGGCTCGTGATGGCTAGTTTACGCTTCACGAAGAAAACCTCCGGGGCGACCCGTGAGTTGGGAGTCGTATTATTATTTATTTGCATTAAGGTTCATAACTAGCGATGCTAGAGTTGTGAAGTAGCAACAGGGTTTTTATGGTTGTGTGTGGGGTCACCACCACGTGAGGGAGGAACTGCCTTCAGCGCTAGCGTGATTCTTCCTTGATTCCCCCATCCGTATAGAAAACCAGCTACAAGTTGACAGTTGTATTAGTTTGCTCTTGAGTGTTATATTGTTACATGGGTAACTCCAGTCAGAAGTAGAGTAAAGCCAGGTGGTTCTTGTCTAGTAGCTTAGCTCCCAGGTGGTCTTGGGATACATAGTGTCAGCCTGTTTTTTTAAAATTATTATTATTAAATCTTATAATGGAACGTTTAGTAAAACTCCTAATAACATTTTCTTTTCCTTGAAGGGGTTCGTGAAAGTTGTCAAGAATAAGGCCTACTTTAAGAGGTACCAAGTGAGGTTTAGAAGGCGTCGAGGTACGAACGGCTTTTCCCGTTGTAGTTTCTGGGGATCGGCTTTTCGTGGTAGAGCATCCTTCTTAATTATTGTATTTCATCTTGTAGAGGGTAAAACCGACTACTATGCTCGGAAGCGATTGGTGATCCAGGACAAAAACAAGTACAACACACCCAAATACAGGATGATAGTTCGTGTGACTAACAGAGACATCATCTGCCAGGTGAGCTGCGCTCAAGATTCGAGCCTCGTGTCATCAGACCCCACCGCCCCTTTTGTCTTGGTGTAGTAGATTTTTCTCGATGCAGTGGGTTTAAAGCTGCTATTTTGAGGGCAGGTGTGGAAATTGACAAGCTCGGGATCTGTATGAGGTCTAGTGTCTATTTACTATTCAGTGAGATTGTCATGCCCCAGCTCCTGGATCCTACTGTATTCCACTTTACTCGCTAAAGAAGTTGGTGATTGTCTGAAAGTGGGAGACACACTTTTTTTTTATTTTTATTTTCTTAAGTACCCTGGAACTGGAGTTGTGAGCTGCCAAGAGGGTGCTGGGAGTTGAACCCAGGTCATCTAGAAGAGCAGCTTCACCACTGAGCCATCTCGCCAGCAAGCTTGGTTTGAAAAAGCAGCTTGCTATTTCTTACTGTTTGAAATGGGTTTTTATAAGTACAAAAATTCACTCAGGAGGAGAGCCGGGCGTTGGTGATACACGCCTTTAATCCCAGCACTCGGGAGGCAGAGGCAGGCGGATTTCTGTGAGTTCGAGACCAGCCTGGACTACCAAGTGAGTTCCAGGACAGCCTCCAAAGCCACAGAGAAACCCTGTCTCAAAAAACCAAAAAAATTTTTTTTCACTCAGGAGGAGAGGCAGGAGGATCTCTGAGTTCAAGGCCAGCCTGGTCTACAGAGTGAGTTCCAGGACAGACTCCAAATACAGAGAAACCCTGTCTCTCTGTTCTGTGTTCACAACTTTCACAACTCAGATGATGGGTAGCTGAAATTAGCTAGTTAGGAAGTAGGTACACTTACATTCTGTGCAAATTTATTAACTATGAAGGCAATGTTGTCTTATGTTCTGATAATTAAGCATAAATTACCTATAAGTATACATTACCTAAAACTTAGTTGGATTTAGCTCGGAAGACAATTTAAGTAATTTTTTTTTGTTGTTTTGACTTGATTTTTGGGGCTGGGGGATTTGAGATAGGATCTGTGTGTGTGTGGCCTTGGCTGTTCTGGAACTCATACTGTGGACCAGACAGGCCTGAACTCACAGATCCATCTGCCTTGGGTGCTGGGATCAAAGGCATGCACCACCACAGCCCTGCTTTTTTACTTTTCACAGTTATTATAATTAATTCTAATGTGTGGTGTGTTTTAGCCATGTGTTTTTTGCCAGGTGGTAAGTTGTAGGTAAGTGAGGGTGACACCTACACAAGTGTCCATGGTCTTTTCCCCGTGTCTTGCTGAAGCAGCAAATGACTAACCTGTTTTTTCTCTGCTGTAGATTGCCTATGCCCGTATAGAAGGGGACATGATAGTCTGCGCAGCATATGCACACGAGCTGCCCAAATACGGTGTGAAAGTTGGCCTGACAAATTATGCTGCAGCCTATTGTACTGGCCTGCTGCTGGCTCGCAGGGTAAGTACTGGACGTCTTCAGTAAGTTTCTTACACGTGACTAATGGTCACCTATGGCTTCAGGAGAGTGTCAGCTGTTTCCTTGTGGCTTTAAAGCCATCAGCAAGGAATGGGGTGTGGTCTTATATTTTGCTGTTTCTGGATCTCTAGAACAGATCTGTCTGAGACTTTTCAGTGGCGAGAGCTAAGTGGCTTACGGTCCTTTTGAGCATTTGAAATTGTTTGATTTGGGGGTGAAGCGTGTGCCTGCCACAGCACACTGGAGGTCAGGACTGTGTTGTGTCTTCAGGGATGGGCCTTTGATCCACTGCACCGAGCTGTCTCACTAGCCCAGAGCTTAGTTTTTAATCTTGAGTTTGAGAGCCCCAACTACCTAGAGGTGGATCTTCTACCAGCCTGCATTAAAATGAGAGTTTAGTGCTTTTCTACTTCAGATCCTTAGACTCTGTTTTGATAGTACAGCTATCATACGTAGTTTATGTAGACATTAAAATTTGAGAAACTGTCCTCACCACTTTGGGCAGTGGACATTGGCAAGTTTTTTGCTTTTCTACATGATTGACAGTTTCTACAAGTAGGTAAAATAATGAGTTTTGCCTTGTTTTTGTATTCTCAGCTCTGGCCATTTTGCAGTGTCCTTGGCAAGGAAATGCATCAATCAGTGTTGACCCCATCATGGGTTGCTAAAATAGGCTTTGGAGGGGAATTTTGCTGTAATAAGTAAAAACATCTCAGTGAAGCCTTGGCTTAAAGTGAAACCATAGCCAGATAGTTTGCCAGCAGAGGGGTAACAGAAATTATATTAAAATCATGTTATGCAGGTAGTTTAAAATACTATTAAAACTACATTTGTTTGTCATTCAGTAGTCTACTAAGACTGAAGAAATACAGAAATCACACAAATATAAGGATGACTGTTGTGACAGGAAGTACACTTAGAGGACAGGGTTTTATGTTGACTTCTCTGTTCATAGCTTCTCAATAGGTTTGGAATGGACAAGATCTATGAAGGCCAAGTGGAGGTGACTGGAGACGAATACAACGTGGAGAGCATTGATGGTCAGCCTGGGGCCTTCACTTGCTATCTGGATGCTGGTCTTGCCCGAACTACAACTGGCAATAAAGTGTTTGGGGCCCTGAAGGGCGCTGTGGATGGCGGCTTGTCTATTCCTCATAGGTAATGAACAGTTTCCAAGCTTTGCTCCTTGACTCTGTTACTGGTGATGTGTCAGTCATTCTGTGATGCTCTGTTAGATACTGTGCACAAGGAACCAGGGTTTGTAACCTGCATTTCTCAGTAGTGCATGTTAGTTGAGTAGATCACATATTGACTCAACAATTTCCCCTTGAATAGTTTGTGACAAATGTCTAATTCCTCTTATCCTAGGTGCTGCTGAGAAATAAAGGGATTTGAAGCATGGGTTTTGGAAAACTTGTGCTACAGCACTGGTGACAGTTTTACTGGTGCTGATATGGCCATGTGAATGCTTGTGGGGAGGTGGCTAGAGCCCGGGAGTTTGCGACTGCCCTGGGCGATATAATTTATACCCCCATGAAGATGAAAAGCAGATTTGTGGATTTTTATCTTGTGGAATTCAGAGATGAGCTGCTGGTGATGATACCCCACTAACTGAGCAGTTAGTAGTTGGTCCTTTGATTGCATATGATGCAATAAGTGTTTCAAGACGGGACTGATGGCAGCTCCTGAAGTGAATTCCTGGGAGTGTAGTGATTTCTTGTCTGTACACTAAAATATGACACTTTCATTTTAGTACCAAACGATTCCCTGGTTATGATTCTGAAAGCAAGGAGTTCAATGCAGAAGTGCATCGGAAGCACATCATGGGACAGAATGTCGCAGACTACATGCGTTACCTAATGGAGGAAGATGAAGATGCTTATAAGAAACAGTTCTCCCAGTACATAAAGAACAACGTCACTCCAGACATGGTAAAAATTTACCTGAACATGCCTGCTCATTTAACACGTGTTTCAATGGGTTGTAATCTTCATGTAGATTTCAGTTGCAAAAAGGAAGGTTGCACGTTGCTGTGTAGGTGGGTAAAGATGGACTTCTGAGCTGCTACTGCCTTAAGTGAAGTTAGCATGTTGGGTAGGAAAGGATTTTATGTGCTGGTGTGAGTAGGCTTGTAGCATTTGCAGCCTTGGGTGCAAACAGGCGTAGCGGGAGTGGTTTCTGCACTCATTGCCTGCTTCATCTTGCAAGTCAGGTTTTCAGTGCAGTTGTGCAAACTCGATCACTAGCTCTGCATATGTGGCAGCAGCTAAGGGAACCAGGTTTGCTAGAGCAATTGTGGTGATAGCAATGTATTAGCCTCAGAAAGCTGCTGAGGTGCCCATTCTGTCCCAGAACAGTCCTGCTTCTCTGACTGTCTCTGTCTCCCCCCTTCCCTCCCATCTTCTTTCTGACGGAGGGGCATGAAGTTTTCCTGAGCTCATCCAGGGAGTTATTTAACTAGTCCTGCCTCTATCTCCCAAACCCTAGTATTGGTGTTAAAGGCATGCGCCACATGCCCTACTGTGACTAGTGTTTACTTTTGGATGGAACGAAAAATACATTCTAGAATTACTGAAATCCTAGGAAGCTGTACAGGTTTTTTGCAAAAGTAGAGGTTAGGAGGAATTGTGTTTTCAAGAGTGAACTTGATATTAGAAAGCTAGTAAGACATTGGAATACTTGAAGACCATAGTTTTTGAAATTTTAGTAGAAATATAGAACATATCACATTGTTATTACAAAGGTAAAATGTAGGTTGGAAAATACGATTTTCTGAGGTCTGTATGCTTTGGAAATCCTCAATTAAACTCATACCTTGAGCATTTATATATATATATATATGCATATATATATATTTTTTTTTAAGAGACAGGGTTTCTCTGTATTGTTCTCTGTATTGTTTTGGAGGCTATCGGTCCAGCCCAGCCTCAAACTCACAGATCCGCCTGCCTCTGCCTCCCGAGTGCTGGGATTAAAGGCGTGTGCCACCACCGCCCGGCATTTGAGCATTTATTTATTTATTGGTCTTTCAAGATGGTTTCTCTGTATTGTTTTGGAGGCTGTCCTGGAACTTGCTCTTGTAGACCAGGCTGGTCTCGAACTCAGAGATCTGCCTCCCAAGTGCTGGGATTACAGGCGTGCACCACCATACCTGGCCATACCTTCAGCCTTAAAGACAAAGGATGAACACTTTTACTTAAATTCTGTACTTCACTGCAGCCTTTTTTTTTTTTTCTGGGTCTTATACTGACCTACTTAGGTTGTATTTGCTCAAACCTTCAGATCCTTGGGCTTTGGGTACTTTTTGGTTTTTCAAGACAGGGTTTCTCTGTATTGTTTTTAGAACTTGTCCTGGAACTCGTTTGGTAGACCAGGCTGGTCTCGAACTCGCAGAGATGCACCTGCCTCCCAAGTGCTGGGATTAAAGGCGTGTGCCACCAACACCCAGCTTTGAGTGCCTTTTTAAAAAGGATTTATTTATGTATTTTATACATAGGAGTGCTCTGCTTTCGTGTGCCTGCATGACAGAAGAGGGCATTGGATCCCATTATAGAGGTTGTGAGTCATCATGTGGTTGCTGGGTGTAGGTTTCTGGAACCATGGAAGAGCCCAGGCCATCTCTCCAGCCCCAGACACATATTTCTCAGTGCCTTCCAGGGTGTTTTGCGGGGCTAAGTGCTCATGCTTGCATACTATACTGAGCTTATGTCCCCACAGTTCATGTTATCTGGAGAGTTCTCTTCCTGAGTATGTGCCTGTGGAATCCTCTGCAAACACGTTTTCAGTGTGAATGATCTTTTTACCTTGATCGGTTGTCTGGTCTGTATGTGAAGCTGTATTTATTGGGAAGAACCAGGTTGCCTTAACTTTGACCATCTACAGTTTTCGGGCAGACTTGATATTGATAGCTTTGGTGATGGAGGACTGAAGCAGGTGGGGTGTTTTCTGAGATGGAATCCCAGCATGTCTAAAGAGTGCTGGGATTACAGCGCTGGGCTACCACATTGTTTTTTAGTGAGTCTTTTTGAATTACTTTTTCCACCGTGTCCATATGGAACAAGTCAGTGAACAAAGTTGGATTTACAGTTACTTCAATAAGAAACTTGTTGGGGATCAAGCTCTTAACCCCTACTCTTGAGCCCCCTTCTTAAGGGGCTACAGTTAACACTAGACATTCAGGATTATAACCTTGAACTTTATTTTTTTTAAGTGAGTTCCTGAACCAAGTTTTCAGCAATGAAATGTAATCAAATAGGTCAAATTTGGGGTTCTAGAGTAGCTGCCAGTTGACCATGGAAGAGTATGTCTTTGGTGCTGGGAATTGCTTTAAAAGGCCTGTCATGTAAAAGTAGATTGTAAATCTGGGGTAAGTGAGGTAATAAGAGAAATTAATGGTCCTCCCTCCTTGCGGTCTTGTCCTTAGACTCAGTTGTTAGAGTGTCTTTCTTATATACCTGTGTATTTTGCATCTTATCCTTTGGTTTGGGCATCTTCTCTTGAAAGAGTTTAGGTCAGACAGTAGATTCTAGGCATGGCTGCCTTCTCACTTCAGTAGACATTGAGATTGCTGTAAGGAAAAGGTGGGTTTACTGGGATTTAAGCAGGTAACATTCACTTAGTTAAGGATAAATTAGAGCAGGCAGTAAAGGACTGTACTGTAATCCTAGGGCATCTGAAGTGAAGGCAAATACTGTTTGCTTTGCTTTGTTCCAGATGGAGGAGATGTATAAGAAAGCTCACGCTGCTATCCGAGAGAATCCAGTCTATGAGAAGAAGCCCAAGAGAGAGGTGAAGAAGAAGAGGTATGTGTTCTGCCATTTTCAGCTTGTTCACTTGGTTTTCAGTGCAGTTGTGCAAACTCGATCACTAGCTCTGCATATGTGGCAGCAGCTAAGGGAACCAGGTTTGCTAAAGCAATTGTGGTGATAGCAATGTATCAGCCTCAGAAAGCTGCTGAGGTGCCCATTCTGTCCCAGAACAGTCCTGCATGTTTTATTGGCTACTGCCTGTGAATCCATAACAATTCTGCCTCCCGGTCCTGAATACTGGACTTTAGATGTGAGCCAGCATGCTCAGCTGAGAATGACTTGAGTTTTGGATGGAATGAGCAATGAGAATAGCCATTGCAGTTGAATGCATGCATTAGAACTTGAAATGAATATGGTGGCACAATTTGTGATCTTGGCACTCACGAGGTCAAAACATGAGGAATGCCATGCGTTCAAAGCCACCTTAAAGGATATATAGGAAAAATCATCTCTCCGAATAATAAGATTTCAATCTTCCATCTGTTTACAAAGTGTCATTTTTCAGCTGACTTGAGATAATATTCCTGTCTTATTTTTTACTTTCCTTTTTAAGGTGGAACCGTCCCAAAATGTCTTTGGCCCAGAAGAAAGATCGGGTTGCTCAAAAGAAGGCAAGCTTCCTCAGAGCTCAAGAACGGGCTACTGAGAGCTAAAGCAATTTTCTATGAAGATTTTTTCATAAAGATAATAAACTTATTGACCAAGCAGCCATTTCTGAGTTAAGCTGTTATTACGAAACTAGGTGTAGCATGAAGCCATGAAAGTAAAGGATCAGGATTCAGGTCCACCTGCTGGGGTTAAGGGCAAGAACCACTATGCCTGGCTGAGAAGTTTTTCCTTCCACAAAAACAACTTAGTAGTTTACCAGAAAAAGGCATCTTACTGGACTCCAGCAGAGCTCTTGGGTTTCTATCTTGATGGAAAGAGTCACTGTCCTTAGCTTGTCAGATCTGGTAAGCAACAGACCTATGATCATGGGGACACAGTGCTTCCATCCATTAACAGTGCTTTATTACAAGTAGATAGTGGAAAGAAAATACCTCAGTCAATCTTGAAAGTAAACCAGTGTGAATCCATGGCTGGAAGACTGGAAGTTGTCAAGTTCACAGATTTAACAATTTGCACAAAGTGTTGCTGCTTTCCTAGCTTTCGTTTTATGCAGATATTAAAAGCTGTGTGCCAGACCTGAATGTACATAGGAAAATAACTTGAAGGTCTAATACTAAACCTTGCTTTTACAAGGAAAAGAACAGGGTGGTGCATTTATGCCTCATCAGACAAGAAGGAAAAAGTGTCTTCCATGATTTATTCTCATCTTAACACACCGAAGTGGTTCAGGTTTTGATCACCTCTGGTCTCTGTCGGAGTCTGCTTTGTGGTACTGAGGCTTCATGAAAACAAGTTACTATATCCCCAGCCTAAGATAATGTCTGGCTGGTTGATGAACCCATCAGAGCTTCAGGATAAAGTTCACCTAATTTCAGTCATTTGAATGTTAACACTTGGAATACATGTTGAAGCTAAAAGTCACAGTTTTCTCCATCTGAAGTTATAATGTGTGAGTATACTATAATAAGGCATGCTATAGACCCAACCTTTTAATAACAGGAGTCATTTTAATTTACCTATGTGGCATTTTTAATTTGTGTTAATGTGCAAACTTTTACCATGCTAAAACATTAGTAAATTCATACATAAATTTCCTTGTTTAGACAGCAGCTTCAATGCAAACAATGTCCAGCAATGGGATTTGCTAACAGGTCTACACAGCACTCACTGTTTGAGGAATGAGGCTTTTCACAGCATTAATTTCTAAGTCAATAGTTAACAGTGAATGTACTTGTGAACTTGCAACAGGGCAGGGATGAGTTTGGACATCTCTTGGCCCTACACCTGCCGTTACTGTCATAGCACATTTGAGATAGCTTCATAGACCCAGAAGGCAGAAGTCATTCTTTGAAATGTTCTTAGAATTTCTCAATGGCAGTGCTATCCAAATGAACTAAGAGTCATTTGTGTAGGAAATTTTCTTCCACAATAATGTTTTTAGGTTATTTAATATCAAAGAATGTTCCATTTCCATTTGATTTGCTGTGACTTTGAGAGCAATACAAGAATAGAGCTGTTTTTCCAATTCTTCCTGGATTTCACTTGGAGCACCATGCAGTAAATAGTCTTTGAGTAGCTGACAGGCTTTTGCCAAGTTTGGCTGTATTACTTCTGAAGTGCACTTCATTGTGCTCTGGTCACAGCTAGTTCTACAGTCTGTACCATAGACACAGTCCAGGTCAGACTCACAGTGGCGATCCTTAATAAGTTCCTTTAAGTTTGTCTCTGGCACAATTTTTCTCATATCCACCATCTTCAAATCGTACTTCTCATTGTATCCTAGGTTTTTGGCACTAGTGTCACACATGAGAAAGTTTCCATAGGGGCCATGGAAAACATCCTCCACAAATTCTAAAAGTCCTATGGCTATCTTGGCCTTTCTAGGCCACGATGGTGTGAACAACTGGTCCATACTTCTTCTGAACCCAGATGGAATAAAAAGTTCAATGACCCATGGAAGACTTATTCCGTAGAGAGAGGTATATTCAACACTTTCCATCACATAGAGGTCACCACAGAACCCCATGAGTTTGGGGGTGTGTTCTTTGTCTTGAAGTATCACCATCAAGAGAAACTCGTTCAGCTGGAGAAGCGCCCATGCTGACCTGGCTTCTCCTAGGGAGACCTGGCCGTCCCTGTCTCCGTCGGCTACTGTCAGGATGAGGCTAACCAGTTCAGACAGGTTGCCTTGGTCACCCAACTTTGCCTGTTAACATAAAATGTCAAGTTACGAAGAACCCTTAGGTTTGTGTAGCTTAGCAAGTAACTTTGAGACTTAAAAGGCTGATATGGGGCTGGAGAGATGGCTCAGCAGTTAAGAGCACTGACTGTTCTTCCAAAGGTCCTGAGTTCAATTCCTGGCAACCACATGGTGGCTCACAACCACCTTGAATGAGATTTGGTGCCCTCTGCTGGCTTGCAGGCAGAAGACTGTATACACAATAAATAAATATTTTTAAAAAGGCTGATATGTAGGCTCACAACCAAAAGCCAATAAAAGAGTTTAGTTCCCAGCAACCACGGCTGTGTCTCCAGCCAATTAAACAAAAGCTGATATGTAGTACCAGTCTATAGTACTTAATCTTAACCTAGTCCAAAACAAAACCAAAGGCATCTATGTAAAAAGACCATTTCTTGTAGGTTGTCACCATGCTAGCACTTACCTTGTCACACAGAGAATGCCCTGCATCTCCCAAATACTGAATATTATATATGTATATTGCGCACACACGCATGCAGTATGTGTAAGAATTTGGTGGGGTGGGTTCTGGAGATTGAACTCTATCTAGTTAATAGGCTTGGTGGCAACTGACTTTACTATGAGCCATCTCCCTAGAATAAATAGTAAATTACTTCTAATCACTTTTTAAAAGAGATTTATTATGTGTACAACATTCTCCCTTCATGTATTCCTGCAGGCCAGAAGAGGGCACCAAATCTCATAGACAGTTATGTGGTTGCTGGGAATTGAACTCAAGACCTCTGGAAGAGCAGTCAGTGCTCTTAACCTTTGGCTGTTCCTCCAGCCCTTTTTATTTTTGAAAATAAGAAAACCTAAAAAAAAAAAAAAAATGGTAGCCGGGCGTTGGTGGCACACGCCTTTAATCCCAGCACTCGGGAGGCAGAGGCAGGCGGATCTCTGTGAGTTCGAGGCCAGCCTGGTCTACAAGAGCTAGTTCCAGGACAGCCTCCAAAGCCACAGAGAAACCCTGTCTCGAAAAATAAAATAAAATAAAAAAATATAAAAAAAATTGAAATTAAGCCTAAACAAGTTTTCTTTCTTTTGAGATGGTCAAATGTAAGCCAAACAGACCCTTAACTGATTCTCTTGCCTCTGTCTTCCAAGATCTGGGATTATAAACATCAACCAAAATGGATTTCTTTAGATTTAAATAATTTCAAATCCAATGTAATGGCACACACCTATAATACTAGTTACTCAGAGGGCTGAGGCAGGAGGATTCTGATGGGTAATGTCCTTCTGTATATATGCTTCTCTTATTGGTTGATGAATAAAATACTGATTGGCCAATAGAAGCAGGATGAAAGGCAGGACTAGGAGATGAGGAGAATTCTGGGAAAGGTAGGCAGAGAGAGATGGTTAGGAAATGCTATGTAGTGGAGAAAGGAGTAACAGGTTTAGGCATTCTCCATAAGCCAGGATCATGTGGAATACATAGATTAATAGAAATGGGTTAATAATTAAGACAGCTAGCCAATAAGAAACCCTAGCCATTGGCTAAAACTTTGATAATTAATATGTCTTTGTGTGTTTAGTTGGGGCAAAGCAGCCGTGGGACCAGGCTGGAAAGAAAGAGCAACAGGGCTCCAAGTAAAAGCCAGCCTTGTCAATTTAGTCTGTTTCAAAATAAGCTTTTTAAAAAGATAAAAAGGAAGGCCTAGGGATACAGTTTAATGGCCTCTGGTCCATTCCCCATATAAGAGGAAAGGGCAGGATGGGAATCTAGGTATCTAGACTACATTAATTTTTATTTTTTTGGTATGAGATTTATTATTTATCCACATTGCCTCAGACTGGTCTGGAACTTAACTTGTAGCCCAACAAAACTGGCCTCAAGCTTGAGGCAACTGTCCTGTCTCAGTCTCCCAAGTAGCTGAGATTACAGGTAGAAGCCACTGTGCCTGGCTCCGGTTATCAGTTGACTGTCAAAATGTGCAGCTATTGAGTCCTCAATTATATATATAGGTATTATAAATAATATAAAGGTTTACAGTCTCCATATTTTTCCCTTTCTTTGTAATCATTTCTTCAAGATGGAGTCTCTGATGGAAGTAAGTCAATGTCTACAATACAATGACTTAAGACAGAGTCCTGTGGGTTCCTGTGTAAGGATGCAGGTTCATACTGGAGGTGTAGGACTAGATGCACTCACCTTAAAGAGACTGTAGACCATTTCTTTGAATTTCTGTACAGTAGTTCCCCTGGTTGGTTTATCAAATAGCACTATTTCTTTTCTTGGCTCCAGTTCAGTTCCAAAATCAACATGAAGAGCTTGTTCCATCTGACATTTCACAACACCTGGCAGATTATCCCAAATCCCTAAATACATCTTTGTGAAAAAGAAGGATGGCAAGTTATGTATCATGAGAGGAGACTGCAAAGCCTACAGCTGCACTTGTCAGGTCCCCTCCTCTACAAAACATAAGCAAGCATTGAGCCACTCAGCGACAGCTGTGACTTTGTTTTTGCCTTTTGAGAGTCTCCCTGTGTAGCCCAGGCTGGCCTCAAACTCAAATCCTCTTGCCTCAGTCTCCTGAAGACTGCATGTGCGGGCCAGCAACCCCAGCTCCTGACTTCATTCCTGAGAATGCCAGTCTGAAGAATCCCCAAAGCCTTTTCCTTAAGTGACTTTAAAAGATGAACACAATGCATAGCTAAATATAGGTTTTGAAAAGTAGAACTAAAAGTAAGGCTCATCATGTTCTACTCCCCTGGTCCCTAGTTTGGGAGGAGACTTTGTACTTTTTTTTTTTTTTTTTGGTTTTTCGAGACAGGGTTTCTCTGTATTGTTTTGGAGGCTGTCCTGGAACTAGCTCTGTAGACCAGGCTGGCCTCGAACTCACAGAGATCCACCTGCCTCTGACTCCCAAGTGCTGGGATTAAAGGCGTGCGCCACCAACGCCCGGCTGACTTTGTACTTTTGTGTGATGCACAAAAATGTGTAGATTTATGGACTCCCTAAGCTGTTCGGGCTGGTGACAATGAACTTTAAGTGGGTATGTATCAAACTACCATTATATAGTATTTTCTACATTTTATGCAAGGCTAGATGGTGTGTTAAGTTTCGAGTAAAGTCAATTGCAATGGAAACTCAAAGACAGAGATGTGAAGAATAAGACTGTGCTGATTACATTGTAGGACTGTGTGCTGAGGACACTGTAGACTGTGTGCTGAGGACACTGTAGACAGTGTGCTGAGGACACTGTAGACTGTGCTGAGTGTACTGTAGACTGTGTGCTGAGGACACTGTAGACTGTGTGCTGAGGACACTGTAGACTGTGTGCTGAGTGTACTGTAGACTGTGTGCTGAGGACACTGTAGACTGTGCTGAGGACACTGTAGACTGTGTGCTGAGTGTACTGTAGACTGTGTGCTGAGTGTACTGTAGACTGTGCTGAGGACACTGTAGACTGTGTGCTGAGGACACTGTAGACTGTGCTGAGTGTACTGTAGACTGTGTGCTGAGGACACTGTAGACTGTGCTGAGGACACTGTAGACTGTGTGCTGAGGACACTGTAGACTGTGCTGAGGACACTGTAGACTGTGTGCTGAGGACACTGTAGACTGTGCGCTGAGGACACTGTAGACTGTGCGCTGAGGACACTGTAGACTGTGCTGAGGACACTATAGACTGTGTTGAGGACACTGTAGACTGTGCTGAGGACACTGTAGACTGTGTGCTGAGGACACTGTAGACTGTGCTGAGTGTACTGTAGACTGTGCTGAGTGTACTGTAGACTGTGTGCTGAGGGTACTGTAGACTGTGTGCTGAGTGTACTGTAGACTGTGTGCTGAGGACACTGTAGACTGTGCTGAGTGTACTGTAGACTGTGCTGAGGACACTGTAGACTGTGTGCTGAGGACACTGTAGACTGTGTGCTGAGTGTACTGTAGACTGTGTGCTGAGGACACTGTAGACTGTGCTGAGGACACTGTAGACTGTGTGCTGAGTGTACTGTAGACTGTGTGCTGAGTGTACTGTAGACTGTGCTGAGGACACTGTAGACTGTGTGCTGAGGACACTGTAGACTGTGCTGAGTGTACTGTAGACTGTGTGCTGAGGACACTGTAGACTGTGCTGAGGACACTGTAGACTGTGTGCTGAGGACACTGTAGACTGTGCTGAGGACACTGTAGACTGTGTGCTGAGGACACTGTAGACTGTGCGCTGAGGACACTGTAGACTGTGCGCTGAGGACACTGTAGACTGTGCTGAGGACACTATAGACTGTGTTGAGGACACTGTAGACTGTGCTGAGGACACTGTAGACTGTGTGCTGAGGACACTGTAGACTGTGCTGAGTGTACTGTAGACTGTGCTGAGTGTACTGTAGACTGTGTGCTGAGGGTACTGTAGACTGTGTGCTGAGTGTACTGTAGACTGTGTGCTGAGGACACTGTAGACTGTGCTGAGTGTACTGTAGACTGTGCTGAGGACACTGTAGACTGTGTGCTGAGGACACTGTAGACTGTGCTGAGTGTACTGTAGACTGTGCTGAGTGTACTGTAGACTGTGTGCTGAGGACACTGTAGACTGTGCTGAGGGTACTGTAGACTGTGTGCTGAGGGTACTGTAGACTGTGTGCTGAGGGTACTGTAGACTGTGTGCTGAGTGTACTGTAGACTGTGCTGAGGACACTGTAGACTGTGTGCTGAGGACACTGTAGTCTGTGTGCTGAGGACACTGTAGACTGTGTGCTGAGGACACTGTAGACTGTGTGCTGAGGACACTGTAGACTGTGTGCTGAGGACACTGTAGACTGTGCTGAGTGTACTGTAGACTGCGCTGAGGACACTGTAGACTGTGTGCTGAGTGTACTGTAGACTGTGCGCTGAGGACACTGTAGACTGTGTGCTGAGGGTATTGTAGGACTGTGCTGAGGACACTGTAGACTGTGTGCTGAGGACACTGTAGACTGTGCTGAGGACACTGTAGACTGTGCTGAGGGTACTGTAGACTGTGTGCTGAGGGTACTGTAGACTGTGTGCTGAGTGTACTGTAGACTGTGCTGAGGACACTGTAGACTGTGTGCTGAGGACACTGTAGTCTGTGTGCTGAGGACACTGTAGACTGTGTGCTGAGGACACTGTAGACTGTGTGCTGAGGACACTGTAGACTGTGTGCTGAGGACACTGTAGACTGTGCTGAGTGTACTGTAGACTGCGCTGAGGACACTGTAGACTGTGTGCTGAGTGTACTGTAGACTGTGCGCTGAGGACACTGTAGACTGTGTGCTGAGGACACTATAGACTGTGTGCTGAGTGTACTGTAGACTGTGCGCTGAGGACACTGTAGACTGTGTGCTGAGGGTATTGTAGGACTGTGCTGAGGACACTGTAGACTGTGTGCTGAGGACACTGTATACTGTGCGCTGAGGGTACTGTAGACTGTGCGCTGAGTGTACTGTAGACTGTGCGCTGAGTGTACTGTAGACTGTGCGCTGAGGGTACTGTAGACTGTGCGCTGAGGGTACTGTAGACTGTGTGCTGAGGGTATTGTAGGACTGTGTGCTGAGGACACTGTAGACTGTGTGCTGAGGACACTGTAGACTGTGCGCTGAGGGTACTGTAGACTGTGAGCTGAGTGTACTGTAGACTGTGCGCTGAGGATACTGTAGACTGTGCGCTGAGGGTACTGTAGACTGTGTGCTGAGGGTATTGTAGGACTGTGTGCTGAGGACACTGTAGACTGTGTGCTGAGGGTATTGTAGGACTGTGTGTCCAGCCTTTTCTTTCTGTCCTCTTGTTCCTCCATTTAGGGTGGGAATGCCTTTTGTGATTTTTTTTGTTGTTTTATTTTTCTTTTTAAGACAGGGTTTCTCCATGTACTTCTGAATGTACTGGAACTTGGTCCTCAAACTGAGAGATCCCCTGTTTTTGCCTCCCAAGTTCTGGGATTAAAGGTGTGCACCAACCACTACTGTTTTTTTTTTTAATGTTTTAAATAATTCTTCTAGTTTAAGGGAAAATTTGAGTTTACCACTCAGGTATGGTGGCACATGACTGTAGAGACAGCTCTTAGAAGAAGGAGACAAAATGATTAAGAAAAACTACAGCCACAGAGCGTCAGAGCCCAGTTTGAACTACATAAGAACTACATAAGCAAAAACAGACTGATGATGCTGGTGGTGGTGATTAGACTCACTGAAATTCCAGAGTACTGATTTACTGTACATACCTGGTTGTTGGGCTTGGTGGACAAACATTTTCCAAAGTACAGTGTTTCTGTGACACAGAGGCTGCTGCATGCAGGCCCGTCAATAACTCCAGTCTTGTATTTGTCACACTGAAAACCAGGAAATAAAAAGTAGTAACTGAGTCAGGCGGTGGTGGCGCACATCTTTAATCCCAGCACTCGGGAGGTAGAGGCAGGTGGATCTCTGTGAGTTTGAGGCCAGCCTGGTTTAGAGAGTGAGTGCCAGGACAGGTTCCAAAGCTACACAGAGAAACTGCCTCAAAAAAACAACAAAAAAGTAGTAATATCTGAAGATTCTGAGTAATTAATAGTTACAGTCCTTAAGAGAAAGTTCTCAAGCCAGATGGTGATGTTACACTTTAATCCCATCACTTAGGAGCCAGAGGCAGGTGAATCTCTGAGCTCAAGGCTAGCCTGGTCTACAGAGCGAGTTCCAGGACAGCCTCCAAAACAATACAGAGAAACCCTGACTCGAAAAACAAAAACAAAAAACAAAAAACAACAACAAAAAAAAAGGAAGCCTCCACCCTTTCTTTGGTGAAATCACATTCAAAGCTCGGCTTGCTGGTGTGTGCTTACATCCCAGCAGTCATGGGACAAAGGTCCCTGAGTCTGAGGACAGCTTGGGCTACAGTGAGACCCTGTCTCAAAACAAACAAAAACATATCAATGTAATCCTACCGTGACAAATGAAGATGACTGTAGGAGGAAGTCTGATGCCGCCATTAAACACGTGACTTATTAGAGTCGCATACAGATGAGGTAATAAAAGGGCGGTTTACCACACCGCTAACCACACCCACTTTAGGCAGGACTAAAGACATATACGGCTGGACGTAAAGACGTATACGTACGTAGGCGGAACTACGTCACTAGCCAGGCCCACTTTTGGGCATGGCTAGGGGGCGTTACGGGGGGGAAGGCATAAAAGACAGCGCACAGGAAGTCTCGCTCTCTTTTCCTGGAGTTCGGCTTCCGGCTCGGCAGAGGAAACGGCTTGTATCGTCTGGGTTACTTGTTTGGTATCTTGTGAGTATTTCTACATTAAATACTTAGTTTTACTTTCAGTAATTGTGTGTCGCGTATCGTTACAGCATCCGTTGAAGCCTACAGATGACCTACTAAATTCAAAGATTATGTCAGAGCCCAGAAGCAGCTGTAATGTTTCAGCTACCTGCCCTCCAATATAAGTCATGGACTCACCCTCTGAAACCAAAAACCCCAATAAATTCTTCTATAACTTGCCTTGGTCATGTGATAAGCGTGTCTTGTCACAGCAGTAAAAAGGTAACTAAAAAAAAACTACCCTAAGAAGTTAATGAAAGAAAGCAAGACACACACAGGGCTGAACCGATACTGAAGTGTTTGTCTAGCATATATGAGGGTTCATTCTCAATGCTGCACACCCAGCAAAAATCGAATCAGCAACCAAAACTCTTGCTCCGCAGAAAACAGGTCTAGGAGATCCTCTGTGTGCTGCCACAAGGTTTTATTTGCAGGCATGGAAAATGGAGCCTGGGCCCAGTCAGCCTCCAGTCGCTGTGCTTTAAACCAGAAAGGTAAAGAGCTAGGTTGGCAAGCTAGATTGCAATTAGCAGGGCAGGTTTAAGGCTGACTCAGTCAGCTGCCCCTCCTAGAGTCCTTACGTAACGTTGCCTCCCTTCCTCCACACAAGCTGGCTGAGATGGAGCCACAACTCCCATGTTGTCTTTTCAGGGCTTTGTGCAATCCCTGACACATCATCAAATACAGATAAAAGTCCCTGCCAACCCCAGGAGCTGAGGGCTGGGCTCTCACCTACGGGTAGCATATTCTATCATAAAGAACTTCTGGGGCAGGACTGACAGCTGCCTTGTTCAGCGTCCTGACCTTCAATTCTCTGATGCCAAGATCACTCCCTTTAAAAACAGCCCTTTCTGAACACTCCCCCTTCCAAATGAATAACTGACACAGGCTCCGGGGTCTATATCCTTCTTCCCCTTCTAACTCGTATCCCCGAATCTAACATCATCTGCAGCCTGGCTATCCTGTCTACTGGAGCACAAGATGACATGAAGTCACAGGCCATCTTGGGCATCTCTGAAGTACCCCTGTCCTTGGAGTACACCTCACAGCACTGAACGTGCCCAGAAAATGTTTATTTAGTTTCCAACATAAAGAACACAGTGATTGGCTGGGCAGTGATGGCACACGCCTTTAAACCTAGCACTTGGGAGGCAGAGGCAGGTGGATCTCTGTGAGTTTGAGGCCAGCCTGGTCTACAGAGTGAGTTCCAGGACAGGCTCCAAAGCTACAGAGAAACCCTGTCTTGAAAAACAAACACAGTGATTTTGACTTTAAAATTCCACTGGAGGATTGGAGAGGTGGCTCAGAGGTTAAGAGCATTGACTGTTATTCCAGAGGCCCTGAGTTTAATTCCCAGCAACCTCACAGTGGCTCACAACCATTTGTAATGAGATCTGGTGCCCTCTTCTGGCCTGAGGGCATAAGACACTATATACTAAATAAACTAATCTAGAAAATTTAAAAATCAAATAGAATTCCACTGGGAGTCAAAGGCAAGGATGTGTCCTGCAGTCTCAGCTGTTCACTGAGGAGTTCAAGCCGAGAATGGACAATATAGGTGTATTCCCTTTCAAAAAATTGGTTACTTTGATGCACAGCACAAAAGTGCCCAGCTGTGCATCAAAGTAACCAATAGTTATTCAATAATTTTTAAATAATTAAAAGTCCTGTAACTTATTGCTGTCCTAATAAACAGCACATTTCTCCTTTGCTTGCACATACCTCTTAGTACCATAAGAGGGCAGTATTTACCTTTATTTTTACAAAACCTACTTGAGGGAATCTTGCCCTAAACTACATACTGGACCACAAGGGGGCAATAACAACAAACATATGTATAGTACTTGGCTTTTAAATATTTTCAAAAATCCACATTCCAAAAATGTACTTCAGATGTCACTTTCAGATCGCTGCTTCTCCTTAACAAGACTAAAAAACCAAGCACACGGGCTGGAGAGATGGCTCAGAGGTTAAGAGCACTGGCTGCTCTTCCAGAGGTCCTGAGTTCAATTCCCAGCAACCACATGGTGGCTCACAACCATCTATAATGAGATTTGGTATCCTCTTCTGGCCTGCAGGCATACATGGAGGCAGGGTGTTGCATTCATAATAATAAATAAATAAATCTTAAAAAAAAAAAAACCAAGCACACACAGAGACACATACACACAGAGTTAGACAGACACACAGACAGATACACATACACACAAGATACAGGCATGCCCACACATATACAGAGACACACACAGGCATGCATATACACACAGATACACAAATACAGACGCATAGAAACCCACACACGTACACACAGAGACACAGACACAAGGCACACGGATAGGCACACACAGAAATGCAGATAGAAGCAGACACACACGAGGAGAGAGGAGAGGAGAGGGGAGGGAGGAGAGGGGAGAGGAGAGAGGGGAGGGGGAAGAGAGGAAGGGAGAGAGGCTTTTCACAATGCCTGAAAACATTTTCTCTATCCCCTACCTCAAGTATTGCCAGTCTTCACCATTTTCAGAGCCCTGTCTTAAGCTCTTCCATTTCTCCTTCCCAGAATTCCTCTCACACATTAAAGATGCCCAAACAAGGCAAAGCTAAATGAAAGACTGTTACACATTACTGTCTAAACAGGGCTCTTAACTGATCTCTCTCCAGCCCTCTCCAGCCATCTCTCCAGCCCCTACAATTGCTGTTTTAAGTAACAAACCATTATCTTTGGGAATGGAATCTCAAAAGAGTCTGATGAAATTTGGAGTCCTTGGGGTCACTGGGTGCTTCTGTTTCAAAGATGTGTTCCTCTAATACTCACATAGCCCCACTACCGTGTGTCAGGGCACGCCTCAACAACTACAGACAGGACCCTGAGCTCCTGTCAGAGGAGCCAGTCAGAGGACTCAGGATGGAACTTTGTGGTCCTGAGAAATGCACAGAAGAGAACTTCTGTTCCCGCGAATGAAACAGGGAATGTCTGGGAGATCCCGCCTACAGAGCTCAACCATACAGGATTTCTGTATGGTTGGGCACCAAACAGGGTTGACTGAAATAATTTAGTAGTTAGGGAGTTATAATTACATATTAGTGGAGGGGGGAGTAATTGGGAAGGGAGAGGCTCCTTCCAACCAGGGTTTAGTGGTCGCTCTCACGTTTTAGAAGTGGCTTCTCACCCCTTACAAGCTCCAGAGGCTGACTCTGGCTTTCCAAGGTACCCTACTCTGCTCCAATTCCTTTTTCCAGTCTTAAGAGCCTATTATCAAGCAGGCATAGTGGCTCACAGCTAGAATCCCAGCACTTTGGAGGCTGAGGCAGCAGGGCCAGGGCTAGCCTGGGTTACATAAGTGAGCTCTAAGCCAGTCTGAGCCACAGAGAGATCCTGTCCTTCCTCCAGGCCCCTCCACCTCCTCCCTCCTCCCCAAAGAGGAAAACCTTCATTTACAGGTAACCAAACTCCTCACCAAATCCAAGGTTTGGTGACTTTACATGGTTCTAGTGACTCCCCGGCCGGTGTTCATCAGTTGTGCTGTCAGGGATGAAATGCTGGGTGAGCCTGACTCAGGTCTGGTGGACACACTTTCCTTGCTGTGACTCAGACCCTTCCTATTCTATTTTGTTTTCCGGCAGTTGTTACTATGCAGCCCTGGCTGGCTGGGAATCGGTTGTATAGACCAGTCTGGCCCTGAGCCTACAGAGACCCACTCCCTCCCAAGAGGATCTGTCTTCTCTAAGCTTCTCTCTGCTATTCTATTCTACCCACAGTGGTCTATCTGTCAGCAAGGCCTTATTTCTTTATATTTTCAATAGTACAACTATTGGTAGCACAAACTTAGCCTGGATGTCGATGGTCTTTTGTTGTTGAAGTTTGGCACTTGAGACAGGATCTCAAGTAGCCTGGGCTGGCCCCAAACTCACAACGGAGCCAAGTAGACAGACTTCCTATTCTTCTCAACACTCTCCAGTGCTCTAAAAATAGTTTTTATTTATTGTTTTGGGGGGTAGATGGGTGGGCAGCATGGCAGCTGTGTGAC